AGAATAGGTTAATGCTTGGAACTTCGTTAAGCTGTCATCTGTCTTTACCGTGGTCTTCATCATTGTATCTTTTATATGAAGCGAATTAAAGCGAATTATCATGCTGAATCATTAATTCTACAACTAAAATATGATAAATATCGCTTAAAGGAATATTATTTTAAAAAATAGTTTTGTAAGACGTTCTGTTTACTCTTTCCATTCTTTCACATCCTCTGATAAACCACAAATTCAAAATTAGGTTCCTCCTCCTTAATAGGATAAACTGATGCAACGGGATTAGTTCATGTATCAGAATGTCAATACTATCAAACTAATATACATACAGTATAATTAATTTATATGTATGAATGTATGTATGTACACACACACACACACATTTAAAACAACGCCGAAGAAGTTAAAATTATTTTCAATTAAATAAATTAGTAAAAATTTCTCTGTAATAATGAAGGATTAGCATTCAGAGTTCATTTAAAACGAAAATATTTAATATTTGATCATCAGAATTAAAAAAAAAACCCACTCGATTTATTTCTTATTGCTCGGTATATATAAATATATAAATTTATATTACTTATATTTATTTCACAATAAAAATCTTTTCTATAATTTCTTTTTCAAAACAATAAACTTATATTTATGAATTATATATAGGTCTATATATACATAGGCCTATACTATATATATTATTAAATATAAATTGAGACACTTAGTGGAAAAACGACGTATCCCACATTTAGGAAAGGGAGGATTAATTTTTCAATTCACTAACATTTTAATATGCAACGTTTTATTAATGTGGGTGTACAGCACAACCCGTGGTGCATGCAACTGAACCGTGAAAGTTTCTTAGAAGACACGTCGATGATGCACAAATCTAATAACTCGTTTTTCGTACTTTTGTGTGATTTTGTGGGTTTCTACTAAATCCTTCAATTATATCTGTACTAATATTTTACTACAAAGATTAAAATTATATGCAAGAAACTTAAATTTTGTTTTAATTATAAACGTAGGCCTACAGTACTGTACTGTACCTTCATACTTTTTCTTATTCAATTCGAAATTTCGTTTTACAATTTTTATCTATTTGATTAATGGTTATTAAAATTAATCTTATAACTTTGATAATCATTTAATGGTTATTAAGGTTGAATTTATGGTAACGGCTGGAGACGTAATCCGAAATCTATTGACAATCTTATAGCTAATAGGCCTGTATAATTGGTCACGTTGCAAGACAACTGTTGTCCTGAGGAAATTCGATTCGAGCCGCTCATTACGACTTCCCGTCAGGCCTGAAATGAAGCGACCCAATCCTTCATATTTAATCCTGGGTAAAATAATCTTTTTAAAAATATATTCTTTTCGCCATAAGAACATTACAATTGTCTTTTCAGCCCTCAAATGAAAATTTGTTTGTTTAGTTATGGCAACGTAACACTTGGGCGATCTGCCTAAAGGGGATGCCTTCCGGGAGGTCTTTTTAAGGGTAACTGGCCCCTATTCAGGCGTTATAGACGTGGAGAAAAATCGGAAAACTCCACGTTGCTCAGTCCTTCCTAGCGCGGAGCGAACCCACGACCGAACTTCCAGTGTTCAGGAAACGGAACCGCTTGGTCACTTATGGACCAACTGAGAGAATGACCAGCGAGGGCCACGTAACCGTACAATACACTGAATACAAAAAAACAAAGACAACCAAGATATTTATTTACCAAAAAATTATTAAAGAAGGCGATATTATAAATAAGAGAGTTTTAAACACGGCAATGCAAGTTAAAACACGATTGCTGCAGCAGACTCGTAATCGCTTTTCTTAAAAACTTCATTGCAGGTATCGAACTTACATAAAAAGCGTTCTGATATCCAATGTTACAAAAAGTCGCCGAATTTTTTATTTCACTGATTTTCCTAAAAATTATAGACTATCTGTCAAATTTGGGCATTTTTACTTACACTTATTTTAATTTTTCCTACATAGTAAGTTTATCTACAATCTATGATATTTCCATATAAATAATTATATTTTAGCTCATTTGTGGCAAAGTGCGGTGGCAGGCCGAATCCGGCTCGTGGGCCGTAGTTTAGTGATCCCCGGTCTAGACTATTGTTACCCAAACTTTCTGATAGGCAGGCTTATAAGTCATAGATAAGCAGACTACAAATGTTTTGTATATTCCAAATATTATAAAAGTAGGCCTATCTTTGTTATGTACAGTACGTAATATACAGAATATACAATGTATCAAATACGTTCACGAACAAGATTAACGTGTGCAACGGGCCGGATTTGGTACGCGGCACACGTAGTTTGGTCACCACTGGTCTAGATCAATGCTTCTGTATCTTTTGTGTTGATGACAAAAATAAACAAATTTGAAAAAAGTAAATTCCGAATTATTGCCTTTTTGGTGCATAAATATTTTTTATTGAATATTAAAGAATTTTTATTGAAGAACTGGGAAAAAAACGTGAATCACTCTTAATGTAAATAGATCTGTGCATTAAAGTGACACTGACACAGAGATCTATGTGCTTATTCTGTATATTTGTACTGTACCGTACCTGTATATATTTAAATAATAGAAAAAGGTTGAAATCAATAAAGGAAAAGTTGAAGGAGAATCTATTTGCAAAAAAATCCGTAAATATAAAAATTACAGTACTTCATTAGTTCCACCGATTAAATATTCATTATGAATTTTGTAAAATTTACTATATTGTATTTTGAATTTATGAATAATAAATATGTATTAAAATTATAAAAATTAAAAGGAATTCAGTTTTTTATGATGTACAGTGTGTCGCGAAATCCCTATATATTTACTACTTTGTCTAAGAAACGAAAAGATCGAGAATCTGGTTTTTATCCTTTACTTTTCAGAGGGGGCCTGACATTACTTAAAATATTATGTGGGTTAAACGGGTTCCCGTCCTTACAGTTGGCACGCATGGCTAGGCTATAATGGCTAGGTTAGCTAGCCTTTAAAAATCAATTTATTAAACTAGAGATACCGAGCTGTTTTGTCTTATCATAATAGAATTGCGGCGGAAATTTTAATTAGTGTTAGTACTGTACATGTAAATTATCTTTCACTCTAATCCGAGCGCTGACACGTGTTTGAATGTGTAAAGACGTGCGTGTGTGTATGAGAGGGAGAGGGAGTGTGTGTATATGTTCGTGTGTGATTACAAGAAAACTAGCTGGCCACACGAGAAAGCAATCTTTACTTTTGTCGGCCATGGAGAGACGATCCTTGCACCTGCTAGGCACCGACAGGCGATTCTTACATTCTTACATTAAATTTATATATGTAGACTATATATAAGTAGAATAATAACTTATAGATATTCTGCTTTTATTAGAATCCAGAATATTTATTATACAAAATTTCGTCAAGAAATAACAAAATAACGTTTTGTATCTACATATAAACAATACATTGCATTAAACCCAGTTTTTATATAAAATTGAACTCATAAGGCTTTGTTTTGTACCTAAAAGTCCTTCACTAATGTTCAGCCAAATTATTACAGATGCAACAACGTTACGCCACAAAGTAAGCCTTTTTCTATAATGATGCTTGTTTCCTGGTTTATTATCGTGGTGACATTGCTTCATCCAAAATTTCCTGTAGTTATAGTCTGTGTAATGTGCACTTTATTCACACATTGACTATTACTGTCAAATACGGTTCTAGTATTTTTGTTACAACTTTGTTCAATACTTTTTTTTATTTAGATGTTTTCTCTGAGCTTTATTTTTCAACCTGGTTCTATTAGTTTTTATGGGATACTAAAAAGATACGTTTTACGTAGGTGGCCGGGTGGTAAAACGATAGAGCCTGATATATCCGGTCAAACCGCTCCGAAAGATTCCTGGTGTTTTATTCGACCTACCCAGATTTATCGATAATTCCGGTCTGCAGAGTGGTAGCCTGATGCCTTAATCGCCTCAGCCATATCACCAACAGGTCCTGTCAGTTTCCGCAGAGCGAAAAGAGTCTTTTTTGTTTTTTCTGACTCTTTTTGTCCTGCGGGCCTTAATAAGATATATTTTTAGCATTCCCATTATGGATTCTTTCTCGTTGTGGGCTTGGCCGGGCTGTGAGAAACGGAGCCCGACATATCCGGACGGACCACTCCCCGAAATATTCGTAGGTTTTTCGATCCGTTCGGATTTGATCTCGAGTCTTCCAAAGCGGTAGGTTGCCATCTTAACCTCACGGCGATCCGACCGTTTGGTCCAGAAGAGTCAAAAGTGAAAAGAATAGGATTGATAGAATAATACAACACTTGGACAATCTGCTAAAGAGGGTGCTTTTCAGGAGAACTTTCTGTGGAAAACTGGCTTCTACTTAGGCGTTAGATACGCCTAGAAAACCCGAAATATTCCACGTAACTAACTCGTAGGTGAGGCGCGAACTGGACACCAACTACTGACTACTGTGGGCCAAAAATGAAAAAAAAAAAAAACATTAAATAATCATAATTTAAGTTTAAATACATTTTTTAATTTGTATTTGATACTTGTTATTTATAATATTATCATTGACTGCCATATAACCGAGAGGCCAAGGTGGCATCCTACCGTTCTGGAGAACCCGGAATCGAATCCGAACGGCTCGAAAAAATCTCCAGGAAGTTTTCAGGGGGTGATACGTTCCCCGTCCTTCACCATCCGACCGCCACATTGTGGGCCTGACCGAACCCATAATGGGCTTGCTAAAAGAGGCCATCTTAGTGCCCATAGGGCGGAAAAAGCAAAAAAAAAAAAAATTATTATTTATAAAGCTTACGTAATGATATCAAATTTCTACATATATTAATCATAAACTGTTTTTTTTTATAATTTTAATATTATAAAAATTACAATTTTGTTTACAATTTGTTATTTCTTCCTTTACAAAATTTTCCATTTTCGAAAATAAACCAATAGCAGACGATAATAATGTAACCAATAGCAGTTAGTTTAAAAGAAACGACCAATTAGAACAGATGTATTAAAAACACCAGCGGGAAACACGCTTTAGAAAGGGAAGAAAATTAATTTAGTGACAGAAGTATAATTTTTAAGAAATAGATAAGTTATGGGTTATTTTTTGTTTGTTTAAATAAAATTCGGTATGGATAACTTTCTGAAGTTAGAGAAGATCGGCGAAGGAACGTACGGCGTGGTTTATAAAGCGAAAGATAAAGTAACTGGATCGCTCGTTGCATTGAAGAAAATTCGACTCGAAAGGTTCGTTCATTTTACCGTACAAACAACCGCTAATGTACACGTGGATGTCTTAATTAATTACCATTAACTTAATTATAATTACCGTTATTTAATGAGTACCAAAAAAAATTGTAAAATAAATTAAATCTTTATATTAATTTTTTTTTGTAGTTTACTTTGAACAATGAAGATAAAATCTTTTTAAAATTGGAATAAAAGTTGTAATTTTGATCAATATTTATAATGTTCAAACAATAAATCTTTGTATAAATTAGTTACCAAATACCTGTGTTCAATTGGTAACAATATAACAATGAACATCCTGTTTTGTATGAACTTCTGTGTGTGTGTGTTGTATGAATTGTAAAAAATGTACTAAAATTTGATCATATGTACTCTAAATTTATAAATAGTAAAGTAGTATTTTTGAATGTTTGAAAATTATTTCACTCAAATTTTTTTTGAATTATTATTATTAAAAATTCATTAAAAGAGAAGAAACAATATGCTATTTCACTTAGCAAGTTTATAATAGATTGCTGATTTCACCTCGAAAACAGTGTTTAAAAGTTTGATTTGATAATTTGAAACAGTCTTTATGCTTTATATTTTTTTATAATTATTTTTATTGCAATAAAGTTCCTATGATTTTTAATAAATTGTTTAAAGAAAAACTATATTAATACTAAATGTTTTATGTTGTTAATTCAATAGTTAAACTGATATATTTTATTATTGATGATTGTTTTAGTAATTAGATATACAGTATTTTTATTATTTTAACTGGATATTATTAGACATTAGATATGGCATATAATTTATGATTGAAATATAAGGTTGATAGAAAATTTAATTAGGATAAAGAATTGATTTGAATTAACATTAACACCATTTTATTAAATTTTTACGAAATTATCACCAATAAATTTTAAAGGACAAGAAGAAATCTTGATTTGTAAAATTTTTCACCTATTTATGATGAGAAATTATATAACTATTTACTATATCTTTTCTGTTTTCTTATGTTTGTGTTTTTTCTATCATTCTCCTTTTATCTTAGAATGTTTTTTTTTTTACTTTCTTTGAAATGTAATATATATATTTTTATGTTCCATTAAAATTCCATTTTATGTTTTATATCTGAAGAATTATTTTAAAACAAATGTGAAGTTATTTGACAAATAATATTAATTTTTTTATTATGTTTCATTTATTAAGTTAAAAATAATTATAACTTGTAATAATTAATAACTTGAATATTCAGTGTAATCGTAAGTAAAATATCTCTATTCAAAGTTAAAAATTATTCAAACTTAAGAGGAAACTGTTGATGCAATTTCCATTGAAAAAAAATAGTTCTAAAAATCTTCTGTGAACCAGAGATTGTCCAGTTGATAATTTGTGAGAATGAAAAAGAGAAAGGAAAACAACACTTTAAATAAGTTTGTTTAGTGTTCCATAATCTACTGTATTTACAATGATTGATTTAAGCCTGATGATTGCCTTTTAAATTATGGTTGAAGACATTCACTTTGAATGATTAAACTGATGTTTTTGCTGATTTGAAAATGGTTATGATGTGTAGTGTAAACATGTTTAGTGTACAACATTCTTGCATTACTTGTATTACAGTAACACATTTTCATTCTCTTTTGTTTAGTAAGAAAAGTTGACAAAAATTCTATTTTTTTCATATTTGTAGCCCATAATTCTGTGCGTCCTTCAATAATCTCCAGACTAATAAATCCTACTCATTGCTAATCATCTCATTTTTTCTTTGAATCTTAAATATCAAAAATACACTCCAGGATCATCTTCCTTAATTAATTACTTTTATAAGATTTTAATATTTCCTGCTCTCTTCTTGAATTAATCAAAAATACTCTTGTACTTTTTAAGAATTTTATAATTCAGGTATGCTTTCAAAGCATGCTTTTGATTTTAGATAAGAAATGTCATATTTTAAACTGCAGGTACCAAAAACATATCGTGTCACCTTTTTAAGAAAATGTCACTACTTAGTTTTTTTAGAATTTAATTCAAAATTTAATAAAATAAATGGTTTTATATATATTTATTCATTAGTCATTATAATTAAAAGCTGTAATGAAACAATATAATTAACAATATTTTACATTGGTGTCATTATCTGGTAGGATAATTGATGTATATGTTCAGGACTCCAATGAAACATATCTGAGAGTCAGAGTTATGCTGCACTCTGTTCATGATCATATTATATCAATAATAGCATTTCTTTTTTAGTGGATTGTTTAACTCTTTTGATATTTGTTTGTTTATAATATGGTATAGTAAAACCCAAATTTTTCTAAACTGCAATTTCCAGATTGTTAATATAAAGCTAAATGTCAACTTTTTATGACAGATTGAAGAGTCTTGCTAAGTTGTTGAAATTGTGTTACATGAAGGAGGAGGCAGTATCTAATGTATTAGAAGGAAAAGTTCGAATGAAGCAATGAAGCAAAAGAAACTTTAAGGAAAGTTGCAGAGAAGGATGTTCTTATTTATAAGAAATATGTACAAGCACATTGTGGCTGTTTTTATTCACATTAACCTTTAGAAACCTTTTTTGTTGGCAAAGATACAGAAGGGCTGGCTGAATGTACAACTTCAGCTGCACATATGTAGGCTGACTGTAATTTTTTGATGTTAAAATGGGACGAGCCATAACTCATAAATATAAGATGTTACTTATCTATATTTCTTGACAGAATTTTAATGAGTGTTATTAGCAGTTTTTAAGATTTTAGGTCACTTTTTCATTTTTACTTTTCCAGCTGTTATATATAACAGAGGGAAAGTGTAGCAATTGGTCAAAAAATGATCCCACAAGATTCTTACATTTTTTACTTAGGACACTTTGAATCATTGGGAAATGTAAAAAAATTTGGAGTAATTTCTGTATGTGTGGGTGTTTGTGTGAGGGGGCATGATTTTGTTCACCCTGTTTGAAGCTGAATAACTCCTGTGCATTTTGTCAAAAATTTCTGAAATTTTGCAGGGTGATTTGTTTAATAGAGAGATTGATGCTATTAAATTTTGGCGATTAAAGGTTAATGGGGGTCATGTGTATCTCCAGTAGAGTCAGACTAATTGACGATTTTACTTACTATTAGCATTTACAATATTTTATAAAACCCATCCCTACCTTCAAAATTAAGCTTTTTGCCATTTTATAATAGTTAAAAATATAAAAAGTTTTTTAATAAAATATGGTAACACATGCCATCAAAATTTTAAATATTGTGAAGAAAGTTGAGCATCTGGTTGCTGGTTTATTTTGGTAAACTGGAGTAAGAGTTCTGCATGTGAATTTCTTTTTTGTTTTGAAATTCAAACAGTTATGGGACAAGAATAATAGAAAAGAGAAGAGAGAATCTTTCTTTTTTTCCATTCTCATAAAGTATGAATTGGCTTTAAGAGTACAATTTTAAAAGAAACAAACCAAAAATCTAATGTGAGCTGGTTTCATTAAATATATTTACTGATATATCAGATACATATCAACAGATGTTGAAAATGATTATATATTTCAGTGTTATTAACTACATATTACAATAAACCCTTGATTTAATGGACTAATTTGGGTGAGGGATTTTTCTTAAAGCCAAAAGTAAGTTTTTCTGAATGCATGTATTGAACTAACTAATTTGTCAATTTTTTTTTTTATCAGTTTTTAATTACATACATACTTAATTACATAAATGTATCTAATGAGAAGTTTTAATTTTACAGAAAAGTTTCTATATGTATGCATTATAGTTCTGAAACTGTAATAAACAATTATGATTTAAATCAAACTAAACAAACATTTTTTAGAAAATATACTTTAATTATATTTAAGAGCAGTGATTCTTGGATTTGGTAAAAAGTAACCTGTTAATTTAATTACATATAAAAAGCATCTTAAAATTAACAGTTTACTAATATTCATGGATGACACACGGACCAAAAATTTTGTCTGTTAAATTGAGGTTTTAATATAGTTATGTATTGATGGAACATCATTTTATATTAATCAATAATAATAATATAATTGATATTAATGTTATTGATTGATATAATTTAATAGAATATGATTGATTAATATGAAACTGTTCCATAACAATGTTTATAGTGGTAGTGATATATTTAACAAATGAGGAAGAAACCAGAAGTAACTTGTCACTAAGCGATCAATGGCTGATGCTGATCAGTTAATACCAAGTTGATTCTTTCCATAGATAGACTGTAATGATAAGACGTTAGTTTTCAAAACAGTTTAAGACAGACAAAGAATCTGTTAAAAAATATATGAAGCCTATTAAAAGATGATACTAACCAATTTTTCATTTTATAAGTTTGACCCACATTGAATGTTTAGAAAGTATTAGGTTTTTATAAATTATAAAAAAGTATTTGATAAAATAATCAAAATTACACTCAGCAGCATCTTCAGGTGAGACCGGAACAGAATTTCAAACCATATCACTTGAATAGTCTCAACATAAGGATTCCCATTAGAATATAATGGGAATCCAATGAAAACAAATATAAAATATTTGTTTCCATTGTAATTGCATTTTTATTATTTACACTTTATATAGTTTATTTTTGTGATTTATAGATTTAAAAAGTTAAATAAAGAAAATTTTAAGTTTTTTTTTAAATTTTACTCAAATTAAATATTTGACCCATGATTTGGAGTTAATAAATTTTAAATTCAATTTTCACCCACCTTCGAGGAAAGGTTTACTATTACTGGTCTAGGCACCATCAAAATTTGTTCCAGTTAAACAGTAAATTCTGATTCATGTTTGGTTTTCCATCAGAATAATTTTTAAAGTTCTGGAAAAGATTTTAATGTTGAAAATTGCCATTGAATTTTTGAATTATATTCATTATTACATTTCATATGACTAATTGTATATTTCTTGTATCTAAACAGTGACAGATTTGTGTATAAAGTTCCATATTGCACAATGAAAATGCAATTGTGATTGATCTATTACAATATAGTCAATAAGAAATTGATTAGCTTCATATATATTATTTCATCTTTTTATCTTCAATTAATATGAAAATATATTGATGAAATTTTATCATTCCAATTCATGAACATCTTGAATATATGCAAACAAAATTTACAGAATAATAGATTATTGAAACAAATTTTTAGCATTGCATTATTGCAAAGACAGAGAATGTAAATATTTAACTGATTGTATTAATTTTTCATTTACGATAAAATAAAATACTCTTCAAACCTTTAACCAGAGTGGTTCTATTTTTAGACTTGCAAACGTTTTTGTCGCCCCTCCTGGGCACTTCTTTAGGCTAAAACGAATTCAAATGATTTGTTTTAGCCTGATTTCACGGAACGATTTCAAATGATTCGAATATTAAAGGCCCATTCGTTTTAGCCTGAAGAAGTGCCCAGGAGGGGCGACGAAAATGTTTGCAAGTCTAAAAATAGAACCACTCCGGTTAAAGGTTTGAAGAGTATTTTATTTTATCGTATTTAAACACCGGTGTGTAAAGAGATTGTATTTTTCATTTACAACTTAATAGAAAGGAATCCTAATTTGAATTTTTTTATGTATAAATATCCTTACTAATTTGGAATTCTAGAATAAACTAACAAGTAAGTAACTTTTCCCATTGTAGTTAAAAGCTATGTAAAGCTGCTTTGCTAATTCTTAATGAATGATATTTTTAATAAGTTAATTTTGTTTTGAATAACTTTTTTTTATAGTTTTGGTCATATACTGATAAGTTAATCCAAAAATTAGTTTTGGATTAATGGTTTAACTTATAGTTATGGATTAACTTCTGCCTTCTATATAGTGTCATCTGATACAAAAAAAAATACTTAACTTATTGTTATAATTTTTGATGCTACTAAATAAATGATGCCCAGTCTAATTATATATTGAATGAAATATATGAAAAATTTTTAGTTAAATAGCATCTGCAGACAGCTGGCATCAATCATGTTCCAAGTTATTACTATAGTTTATAACATTTTACTTGGAACACTTAATTAAAATACCTCTTTATTCAGTACTATATCTGTTATATAATAATCTGTTTACAATTTTATCATTCCTAGCAAAATTTAATTTTAAATTATATTATATGCTTAACTAGTTTATTTCTAAATAAAGAAAAATAAGAAAAAAAGAATTTAGTTTATAGCATTACATTAAGATGGGAGCTTATATATATATATCATACAAAGACAGTAAAGATAAAATAAGACAAATAGTGTAGTGTAACATACTGGAATATTTAAAATTATAACTAATTTTAAAAAATCAATAGACAGTTTGATAACACTTTGCTGAGCTGTTTATAACTGCAAACTTTGATATTAGAGAGGTTGAGGCGCACGTTTTAAACGTGTAAACGTGTACGTGTGACGTTTGGCGCCGCTTTCCCGTAAGCCTAAAAGTGTGACGATGGTGTTTGGAATGTCGAGCGTGATTCCATCGACTATCCAAACACCATTGTCAAACTTTTAGGCTTACGGGGAAGCGGCGCCGAACGTCACACGTACACGTATACACGTTTAAAACGTGCTTCTCAACCTCTCTATTAAATGGAATATTTAAATTCACCATGCACATACTTTTCTCCAGTTAATGTCACTCTGCCTATTAGCACAAAATGGTTAATGTCAAGGTGATAATAAAACTTCTGTGATAATAACCAGTGTGTGATATTTAAGTTGATTCAAATATAATAGTTTAAAAATTTTGTTTTAATTTATAGTGAATGTAAATTCTAATATTGACTCAAGATAATTATAGTAATATAGCATAAAAGCAAGCTGGCTTTTCTTCTGCTGCTACTGTTCTGGAGGAGGAAAAAATTAGTTTTAATAAACAGTTTATTAGAACAAATAAAACAATTTTTTGAAATTAAAAATGAATCAGTGTTCCATGAAAGTAATTTATTCTGATCTGCAGTTTTGTTAATACAGTAGACTCCCTATAACATGGTAGATATGTTCCGTGTTATGTGAATTTTGTGTTGTATGAGTCACTTAAATACATGAGCCAATTACAGCCCAGCACTTGTGCAGTTTAGAGGCTACTTCTGTTTGAAAGGTTTTCTTCCATAAAATTAACTGATTCTAGACTAATTTGACTTGACATTTCCAAAACACGTATACTTTTTTGGGAATAATCCATATAAACTATACTATAAACAAAAAATTGTTGGAATACTTGCCGAGTGCGCACTGTTCAAAGACACCATTACTTAAGCTTGTTTTCGTCGTGGAGTGGCTCATTGAATTGCGGATGCGTTTCCTGATAAGTTATTCTGATGAATAAAGACAAAATTTTAGATAATGTAAAAATTATAAAATTACAGTTTTAGACTTGCAGTACCTAATTTATATACTGTACAGACAGTAGTAAACTCAACTTTCCCACCTAAACTCTTCGTATATATGTGTGGCGCTGGACAGTGGCAAGTAGTTCAGCTGCTCATCCACTATTGGTCCAGATTCGACCAATTTTGTCGCGACACGACAATCTGTCTCATTCTTTCACCGTGTTATATGAACACGATCACAATTTTTTTGCCATGTTATATGGATCTGTGTTATATGAACCCATGTTATAGGGGGTCTACTGTAAATATAAGTTCTAGATCAGGGCTTCTTAAACTATGGGTCGCAACCCCATTTGGGGTGACTTAGCGAAATCTTGGGTCACGAGATTTTAATGCAAAATAATATGAGAGTTTGAATATGGCACGCTCTGTGTCATAGGTTTCACGAGTTGTGCTTTGTGTCACTTCTGGTGCAGTGAGACCACGATTCAGCAACACTGATTGTAGTGTGAAGTAGTGTAGTGTTGTCACTTTTCAGTGTATTCAGTTGTCTCTGTTCCATTGTAATACAAGAGTGAACTGTGGTAGTACATCATTATTGTTTATGCAAATTTGTATATATCTTTATTTTATATTTTTTGGGTTGTGAAAAAAATCACAATCATAAATGGGGTCGTGAATAAAAAAGTTTAAGAAACCCTGTTCTAGATGCATATTTGATATGAACTTCTTATATTTTCTTCTGTCAAATGAGAAATGTTGATAATTTTCTGATGTTAAATATAATATTTTCTTAAGTTCAGCAATTTTATAAATGAACATATAACAGATGCTTTTAAAAAAAACCTAGTTTTCTTTGTTTTCTAATAAACACAAACTTATATTTGTTAACCCTTTTAAAGCCATGACGTAAAGATGACAGTTTTAGTGTTATGTTTAATTTAGTATATCCTAAATTTTGATTATCAATATCATAATTAGGATATCGATAATCAATTATTGAGAAATGAGAATTAAAAATAATGGCATTAAGGAAAATCTTGATAGCAAAATATCAAAATTTTATAATACATTGGTGAAAACATGTTCTTGTTCATTTTGGAATTCTTTTAGTGCACCATGTCGTCATATTCTTATGATAAGAAAATACAGTAGAGCGTCGTTTATCCGAATCAATTGGGGACTGGGGTTGTTCGGATAACTTATTTTTCGGATAACCGATTATGTATGGAAAAATATATTAACCTATCCCATGTTGAAATTTTTCTCTGTTGCGTGTCGCTTCGCGTTGAATTTTCGTCGATGTTAAGTCTAACGAAGACTATTGTATCGTTAAAAATTATTTTTTTATTTTGTACAAACAAAATAAATATATTGAAAAATATAAAAACAATAAAAAATTACACTTCAAAAGTTAATTTAGTATCAAAAATGTAAAAATATTTGAGTAGCTGAAGATATAGCCAAAGATTACAATGCTACAGCACTGGCGAAAATTTAATTTTGTCGACTGGAATTCCTTCGGATAACCGACGTTTCGGATAACCGACCTTCGAATAAACGACGCTCTACTGTATAATAATTTGGACATATTTTCAAAAACTTGCTTTCATGCAAGATATATTATTTTAATTAAAAATGCACTAAGTATGGGATACAGATGATGTAAATGTATACATCAATGATCATATTGAAGATGAAACTTTTACTGATGAATTTGATTGTCCCAACAAAATATTATCAGATAGGGAAAAATTTAATATGGCACTGATGATAACTAAAAATGTTGCAGATATTTTGTCTAATTATGGAATGCAAACCTTCAATAAATATGTAGAGGAATTAAATAATAGAAAGCAATGCAAGAAATGGAATTTCTCTTTTTGAACATGAGAGTAGTGGGCTTAGTACAATTGAACCAGAAGAATCTGAAGAACAAATTTGGTCTAATAATGAGCCCTGTTCAAATCAATCAAATAAAAACTTAAAATTCAAAACTAAAATTAAATCCAAAGGACATCTGAAGAGAAAGACTAAGCAGATCACATTTTACAAAAGAATAAAAATTAATATATGTATTTTACTTTATTGGTATACTACCAATCTATTTTTAATTTCATTATCTATATTTCACTGATTTAATGATACTTCATAGTTTATTGATTACTTTATTGAAGAACATGGTAACTGAACTTTAATAAATAAAACTATAATTATTTATAATTGTGTAGTTATTATCAAAATTTTAATTGTAATAACAGTGCATACAGTCGGTATTCAGCTGGAATATAGGAACATACAGTCAGTATGTATAGATAGCCAATTGAGTATACAGTACATATATGTATAAATAGCTAATTGCGTATACATACCATATGTATAAATAGCCAATTGCATATACATACCGTATGTATAAATAGCCAAGTTCTAAATTTAAATAGATAAAAACAAGTTTTCATAATCTTATAAAATAAAATTATTTCTAATACATTAATTTTATAAATATAGTGAAGCTGAAGGTGTTCCAAGTACTGCAATAAGAGAAATTGCTCTTTTGAAAGAACTTAAGCATACAAATGTAGTCAGGTAATGTGAACTTTAATATAAAATGGATAAAATTTCTTTTGACATAAAAAGTATTAATTA